GCTTTTATGTACCGATAAAAATCATGCACAGGAGTTTGCCAAGAAGTCTGGAATCGACGGTGATTATAAGGAACTTTTGGGTAATTCGAAATTTTGCGCAGCGGTGGTAGAATCACTTCTGGTGCTTGCCAAAAAGAATGGCCTGAAGCCCTTCGAGTGGGTAAAGCGTGTATGCATCCTGGAAGATGAGTGGACACCGGAAAACGAAATCATGACACCCAGTCTTAAGCTTCGAAGGAATCAAATAGATAAACAATACAATCACACTATTGCAAAGTTGTTCAATGATTCCGATAAGTAAATATCAATTTTGTCATCTCTAACAATCTAGGGATTATATTTTACACGGTAAAATATTCCTAGACTTCTTTTATAAAGCACAATAATGTATCTTTTAAAATACCATATTTTTTCAAATAAAGAACTTTCATTCCCATGCATTTAGAAACAACGGGGTACATTCACTGATTTTTCTTTCGAATTTACTAAATAGTTTATTGAGCAGTAATTACGACGTAATGATCTTCATCAACGATTCAAAGAGCGTTAGGGAGTAAGTGTATAACGTGTATGATCTGTATTTCAGTGCTAGAATATTTATCCGATCTAACACGATGTACTGTGACTGGCATTCACTAATCCCTATGATGTACAGTCCATTGGGTGAAAAACACGGCTATACTCGTAAAATGGGATTTATTCGTCGATGTCTTATGCTACCAGAGTAATGTGGGATGAACTCTGGGCGGGGTGTGGTGTCGTGTGGTCGCCACAGGAAGTTAAAGCTATTGATATTCTTTCATTACAGTGTGAACTTCCCCACGGGCAGGATGAGTAAGAATTTAGGTGGGGTAGTATGTCACGCCTTTATTGGCTCCCTTCTAGGAGAATGTGGGAATGCACCCACGGAAGGGTAGCAACGGGCTTTTACTGTTCACTTTCGACAGTTTTGCCATGCTGGTTTGGGGATTTCATTATGAATAGGTTCTCATCTGTCACAGCGGCATATGCACACCTTCAAGTGCATAAGCATTGTAAAGGCCTAAATTAAATAAGCCGTTATTTCCCGCAAGGTACTGAACAGTTCAGTGAAGCTCCTTGTTAAAATATGACAACTACTGAAAACCCAACGCTTTGTTTCGTTACTCTTCGTCTTTTCTCCGGTTCCCTTTCATCGCTTCACCCACTCCGTCAACGATAATTTTATTTTCAAAAGATATTTCCCTAAAAAAAAAAAGTTATTTTCGCTCTAAAGCATTTACAATACGCACAAAAAAAAGTCGAAATAAGCACCGAACACAGAATCCAAAATCAAATCAGAACAACACTTAAAGCGATGGTGTACTCATTTACCTCTGACTACTCTGAGGGCTGTCACCCCTCCATCCTCAAGGCCCTATCCGAAATAAATTACGAGCAGAATCCAGGGTATGGCGTCGATAAGCACAACGTGGAGGCAACTGAAATGATTCGGGAGATTATTCAGCAGCCCAACGCGGATGTACATTTTGTTATTGGTGGAACCATGGCCAACAGCATCGCCATTGATCTCGCGCTGCGTCCATACCAGTCAGTGATCAGCGCAACCACAGGCCACATCAACACATTGGAGACCGGCAATCCTGAGCGCTTTGGGCATAAGATCCTCGCCACGGAAACTGTGAACGGAAAGTTAACACCTGAGCTGATTGACAACATCGTAAAGAGTAATGTATCTATTCATATGACAGCGCCAAAACTGGTGTACATTACCAATACAACGGAAGTCGGCACCATCTACACAAAGGATGAACTCACCGAGGTGTCTCTCTTCTGTCGTCAAAAGGACCTGTACCTGTTTATGGATGGTGCACGCATATGTTGTGCATTATCAACATCCGGCAACGACCTCACCTTGCCTGAGATCGCAAGGATGGTTGACGCGTTCACGATTGGGCTGTGCAAGAACGGTGCCCTATTTGGAGAAGCCCTTGTGATTATACACGATGATCTCAAGCCTGGTGCCCGGCACCTTATAAAACAGCACGGTGGGCTCCTATCTAAGGGATGGTTGATAGGTATGCAGTTTAAACTCCTGCTACGCGATAATCTCTACCTCGAGCTTGCCAAACACGCGAACGACACCGCAATGATCCTGAAGCGTGGTATACAGTCGTGTGGATACACCTTCATGATGGACTCGGTGACAAACATCCAGTTCCCTATATTTCCCCCGCATGTCGTCAAACATTTGGACGAGCACTTCTCATTTTATGTTGAAAAGGTGCTTCCACATGGCGAAATAGTTATAAGGTTATGCACGTCGTGGGCCACAAAAGAGGAAGCATGTGTTCACTTTATTGAGATACTCCGAAAGATTACTGAAAAAAATTAAACGTAATCTAAATTGCATTAAAAAGTGGTGAACACCATAAAAAGGGAACGAGCCACGAGTGAATTAATCTCATGGCACTACTATATTTCTAAAACTGTCAGCCTAATTTTAAATTGAATGATTGAATCCCCTTAGAGCATATAAAAGATATCATTGGGACACTATTAGGATTTTATATATATATATTCCAGCATACTATACCATTGTTATAAACAAAATATTACTAAAATTTATGCATAAACAAATCTTGTATTAAAATTTTCCAATATTTTCTAAAAGGAAAATCCTCTGATATGTAGGTTTCTCTTCATATGTACTGGTAATTTAAGGATTCTGATTGTTTTAGATCAATGATGAAATTTCCATTTGATGTTAATGCTGCTTCATTCCTCGTTAAACTTCCTATTATGATGCATTTACTCCATCTTTTCTATACACAATTGCTGTTTTTATGTTAAACTTTGTTAAAGACATATTTCATCGAAGCCAAATGAAGAAGCACATTGAGAGATCGTTCAAACGATATCTGCATGCCCCTAGCGAAGGTAATGTGTGGGGACGGGATAGCTGAGCTCCAGGAGTGCGGATCAACCGAGGCATAGAGCCCGATAATGATAAACGGATCAAAAAGATGGCTGAAATGGCCGAGCAAAACACTGCATTGTCTTGGAAGGGGGTCTGCGGGCCGGGGATCCCCCTGTTTCCGTTCCATGCCCGCGCTGCTATCCCTTCTGCAAACAAGAAGGCTTTTGCCAAGGCAGTAAGTTGCCAATGGTAGTAGAATCAATTCCTCAGATGAACACGTCTCTTCCTATGCGTCAGGATAGCGATAGGGCGTCGGCGTATTTACCGCTGGTACATAGCTAAATCAGCTGCAGTTGAATTCCCATGAACATTTGTGTCTAGGTACTACTGGAATGGATACGGTGGCTCGGTCTGTTCGGTATCCTTTCTTGAGCGAGATGAATAACTACTCAAATGTTTCATTTATTAATTTATTCGATCTTGTTTTATTATCTTGTTTTTGCTACTTTAGGTATGTTATTATAGATACGCCTCCAACTTCAAGGTAATATATTGCAATAATGGGCGGTTGTGTCGTTTCCTTTATGGACCGGAAGCATAGGAATTCCATTGTACCAGATCCTAACATTACAAACTATCGTAATTACGGTCCAGACAGCGTCTCCGTTCCCAAGACTGAAACCTCAACAAGCACTGCGATCTACCGCAACGGACGCTATCATACCGACGCCGAGTTGGAAGAATTTCAGCGCGACGCATATTTTGGACCAAACAACACCCAAAAGTTCGTCACGTTATGTACCTCGCATTCCCATTCCGGAGCGCTGTACTATCGTCCAGTTCTAAAATCCGTCAAAGAGGAGGTCGAAGCGCATGATGGGAAGAAAACACTAGATGTGTTATACATGGGAGAACAGGTCAAGATAGAGTACTCGGAGCTATGGGAATATACCTCTAACTTAAGCCGTGGTCTGGCGGAATTGGGGCTAAAACCTCGTTCAAATGTTGCAATTTATGAGGATACTCGTTGGGAATGGCTTTCTGCGGCGTATGCATTCTGGCTACAGGACTTTGTGGTTGTCACCGTGTACGCTAACCTGGGTGAGGATGGTCTTATCTATGCCCTCGGCGAGACGCAATGTAAGGGGATTGTGTGCAATGGTAAGAGTGTTCCTTTGCTACTATCAAATATTACAGAAGGCTCTATATCTCCCTGCACTATCATTTATTTTGACGAACTTCCCGCGCTTGGGTGCGAGGTACCAAAGGGCGTACAAATGGTGTCGTGGAAGAGCGTGGTGGAACTTGGCAGTAAGGTAAAATCTACCCGTAAGCTCATTATACCAGAAGATAATGATAAGGTTGCGCTCATCATGTACACCAGCGGCACCACTGGCAACCCGAAAGGTGTCGTTCATACTCATGGTAGCTTCACTAGTGGCGTCAAAATCATGGACAATTGGCTCTTTGGACTAGTAGATTATAAACATGATGACTTATATTGCTCGTACTTGCCTCTAGCGCATATTCTTGAGTTTGGAGTTGTGAACATCTTTCTTATGCGCGGTTCCAGTCTAGCCTTTTGCTCACCACGGACGCTGACAGATTCCACAACTAGACCGCATGGCGATCTCAGGGAGTTCAAACCAACCCTTCTGATCAGTGTACCGCGTGTCTTTGACACTATGCGGCGTGTGATCGAGGCGAAGCTACCCAAACCGGGCACACTTCGGCGCAAAATTTTTGATCATGCCTACCAGAGTCGGCTCAAGGCCCTAAAGGAAGGCAGCGCCACGCCGTATTGGTATAAAAAGATTTTCGCCAAGACGAAGAATGCATTGGGTGGACGTGTGCGCGTATTACTTTCCGGAGGAGGCCCGCTCTCTATGGCTACGCAGGAGTTCGTCAACGTCGTTTTCGGGCTGATTGTGATCGGATGGGGCCTTACCGAAACGGTTTGCGTGGGCGCAATTCAACGCATAGGAGACATCGATTTGGGTGTGGCTGGACAAGTCCTTGTTGGCGAGGAACTCAAGCTAGTCGATGTCGAGGACTACAAGCACACCGATCAG